TGCGAGGATGGAGGGTAAAGTGCATGGCGCATCGCGTTCCTCTCCTTACCCGTTGCCCAGCAAGGGGAACGCTAGAGGCGCGATGTCGAAATACGACGCCCGGAGGGTGCGCGCGATATCGACACCGGCCACCGCGGGCGGCGAGCCATTTCGGCAACCAAAAGCTTTTTGAAACAAGACTCGGCGCGGCTCTACGGCAACGCCGGCTCGGGGACTCGATAGCTTGATGCCTCCGGTAGGGTCGCAAAAAAAAAAAAAAAAAAAAAAAAAAAAAACGGTCGACTTATATTCGAATAAACACGGCAGTCAGCCGCGCGACGAGACACACATTATGAAAGCGATTGGTGCGAGCGACGAAGGCGGTGAGCGACGTTTTCTAGAAGCCCAAGAACCGAGCGGCGCAAGCAGCGAGAGTGAGAAATCTTCGGCGCTCGGCGCCAGCTCTCGTAGCTTCTCGCCGTCGCTCGTCTCGTTGATCGCTATATTGCTAACATGCCGTTCAGAAAGGCGCTCTAAGTGCTTACCATCGCATTGGGACCAGCCTCGCATCCAACCGTAACCAGTCTTGACTTTTTTTTTTTTAGCCGCCCAGGTAGAAGTTAACATCGTACATACACCGTTTTCAAGCATGGCTCCTCGTTCATTGCTCGATTTACATTGTCGGCAAATGACCGCAATGAAGCACAATTATTCTAGTTCAAAATTGTCACGAACACTTGGCACGCATGCTTATACTGTAGCGCACCTAACGTAATTTAAAAGTAGAACGAAAACGGGACGAGATTCGCTTACCGCTTCACGGATCCTAGGCCTTCGGATCCTAGGCCTAACGGCCGTACTTGGAAGTCGCCTGCGGTCCGGCGATCGGACGAGTCGAGCCGGCCTGACGCAGGCTGACCACGCCTGGTTGAACTATGAGAGGCGCCGTCCAGTTGAGAGCCAGAGACGCAGTAGAAACGGACCGCAAAACATCTGTCCCGTAACCGTAAACGAGCCAACGACCCCCCACACCGCTCTATCTTCGCCATCTCCGCGACGACCGGAAGCGGAAGCCGCGAAGTTAGAAAAGCCGCGGCAGCGGAAGCCACTGGGCGGAAGCTTTACGTTTCGGTTTCGCTTTTCTCCAACGCAGGCTACGGTCGCTACGGTTTCGGGCTGGTGGGTTTGTCGGGTTTGTGGCTGGTTGCGACGACGCGAGGGGCCACGAAAAGACGCCAAGTTGGCCGAGTACGAGTCACGGCCCACGATACGAGCAACGGGCCGTTTGCCGCTGTCGACCGGCGATGCGATATCCGCGGCTTGGTGTCACGATCGGTTTGTTGCCGTGCACGTTGACTCAAAGCTCGAAGTTATGCAGTTCCGTTCCGGCACCAGCCGCACCACGTTTTCCGGTGCATCGCACGTGGAGGCCTTTCGACGCATTCAGTGAACGTAAAGATCGTGCCCGCTGTCTTCGGTGCTGTGGAAGAAGTTGGGAGACGGAAGGCGTTTAGGACTCCAGGCCGGGCCGCCGGTTCACTCTGAACGAGAGGCGACGTGTGTGTGCACGCTTTGAGGAAGCCTCCGCGTTTCGCCGCGCTAGACCTCGCCGATCGCGACCGGACCAACCGGACTCCGAGTCCGAGAGGCTCTTGCGGAGTCAGGAACTGCACCGAGGTAGGAGCTGCTCGTTCTGCGCTACCATGCAGTGCTCTACAGTGCTCGGAGCTCTCGGTGTCATTCGTGCTTGCACTGAAGCCTTTGTGACCCCTTCGGACGCGCAAGTCGTACTTCGCAAAGGTTTGGACGGGGCCGCCGTCACCGAGCAGCTCCGCTATATTCCGCTTACTTATGATCGCAATAAAAGCTTGCGTTCTCGGGAAAAAAATTGCGGGACCGCTCTCCGCGCCGCCGACGAGGTTGGCCGCCGCCATGTTCTCAGCTGTTCACTCGCTCCCGCAGCGAGCGCCTTCCGATAATCCTCCCCGTTCCAAAATGCGATGCGCTTTGCGCATTATGCCGTTTACATGACCGCATATTGAATGCGGCAACTGGATTCAATGCGACTAAGTCGCATTCGTGTAAACGTGGCTTATGTTCTTTTTCGACATGTATGGTGTATGTAACGATAGCGGTGGTGAACGACGGACGTTTTTGTTGGAAGATGGCGGTCGTCTTTCTGCATGTATGATTTGGTTATACCGGTGGTCCTGTGGTATAAGCGTTTTTGTTGGAACGACGGCAGTCACCTACGTCATCGGACGCAAAATCATACCAGCCACACCGAATCATATCGGCAAGCAAAGTGGCTGCCAGTATAGACAGACCCGGAGCCATAGCGGCGCCGGTATCTCCAGTTATGCAGAACGCCAAACCAAACTAGCTGCATGCATAACACAAAGAAATTATGGTTGTGTCCTACCAGAACTGTACAAGCAGCAGGTTTGTTTCTTGTACGTTTTTCCAATAGGGTAATGGCTGCAGTGATTGGAAGACGGATGGGCCAGTATCTTGGAGGGATCATAAATATTCAAGAAACATTCTACTGGACCGATAGCGCTATCACACTTCACTGGATCCGCGGGTCAGCAACTCAGTGGAAGCCCTTTGTGGCAAATCGAGTGGCAGAGCTTTAATCTGGAGGGTGACCTTCTACAAGGATGCATTGCCCGGGACAAGAAAATCCGGAGGATTTGGTTACACGGAGAATATCTGCGGAAACTCTAAAAGGTACGCAACTGTGGTGGAAGGGTCCAAAATGGCTTGGTAAGACCGAAGACGAATGGCCGAACCTCGTCATGGGCGACGGCGTTCCAGTAACAGTTATTGCAAAAGAGGGAAAGCTGAAACATCACGTAATGCAGACGGCAACAGAGGGGATTGCACCTCTATTCGAACTTGAACGGTACGGGGCGCTGGAAAGGATCCTCAGGATTACTGCATGAATTATGCGGTTTGTAAATAACTGCCGTACGCTGCCAAACCGACGTGAGGGTCCACTAGCGTGCGAAGAACTTGAACGAGTCGAGATTTGGTGGATCGCATGAACGCAACAGGAAGCTTTTACACAAGAATTGAACGATCTAAGGGCAGATAAGAATCTGGAAAGGCGATCCAGCTTAGTCTCGCTCGCGCCCTGCGTTGACCCCAATCGAATGTTAAGGGTGGGGGGTACGACTGCAACAATTAAACGAAACAATCGACGTCAAGTACCCGCTTTTGCTACCTCCCGATCACCGCTTCACTGAGTTATTGGTAAGAGACTGGCACCGTCGAACACTGCACGGCAGACTTCAGGACACCTTAACCCAAGTCCGAGAGCGGTTCTGGATACCACGAGCAAGACAGCTGGCGAAGAAGGTCATCAACAAATGTAGGGGTTCTCGGTTGGCCCCATAGAGTTATTATAATGTACGCTAGAGGTTCAAGTGGCGCTAGTGTGCTGCTGCAAATTAAAGCAGACAGCAACCAGTCGGAAATTGACTTCCGGTAATGCATTTCTATGGGAAAAAGCGACTGCATTTTCTCTCCGCGCTCGAATATAAGAGCAAATATTACGAATAATTCGTACGTACTAGGTAGCTTGGAACATTTCTCAGTCAGGCCGATGAAATAATTGGTCAGTTACGGCGTTTTTCTTTCAAATTCATCGGATTCAAAACGGTGCTAAAACGGCTTCGTACGTGTATTTATGTCCACTGTCGGACACTGTTAGCGCGAACACGGCATCGGCGCTTTCCACCATGGGGATAAACGTGTCAAACGAACGAAGGACATGTGGAAAACCAAGAGAGACGGCAAGAACTACGCAGTAACATTGGATAAATAACTCCTTGTGCATGCAGGCGACCAAAATAAATTGAAAGCCACCTAATATAGTCCGATTTGCAATAAATAAGTACTGCTTTATTAATTCTTTCTGTTCATGAATATGTGCAAAGATGCATGTTCTGGGTTCAAATCATCAACCGCATGCTCCAAATCTTTGCAAATAGGGAGAAGTCAGAGAACAGGGGCCCGATAAGAACTGCCCGACATAGGAAATAATAAAGAGGCACACCTTTCGTAGTCCACGTACTTTATTTCTTACATTCGAATGTTTGACAGGACGGGCATATTAGCAATATATAAGCGCCACCGCAACGCCAGCGAACCTTGAACACACTCTACATTCTTTTCGATCGTTAGTTTGCTTAGAATCGTCGCTCGTTTTTACATACCTGCCAGGGAACATAGGTTTGGGCTTGAAATATAGCGAAGCTTAACATGGTTCAGTGGTAAAGAAAAATGCTGTAATTAAAGCAATTACACTTTTACAATATTAATAAGTGTACATACTATCCGGTACAACCGAAATAATAAAAGCCATTCGTGTTATTTTCCGGCGAAGAGGCAAATTTCACGCGCGTTTTCCCATAGGAATGCACAGGAGCACCGCAAAAGTAGACTGGTTGCTGTCTGCTTCAATTTGCCTCCCGGAAGTCGCATAGACACTAGCGCCAGTTGAACCTCTAGCGTACATTATAATAACTCTATGGTTGGCCCGACTCAAGCCGGCTAACGCTCCGAACGCACTTTCGCCGCAGGATCGGATTACCCAAGCAAGTCCTTTTTAGGTGGTCGGGATCGATTCTGCCGGTACACTGATGGTAAAGACTGCAGCATCAGATGAAAAGTCGTACAATGCGCTTTTCACATGTGCGGTGACGAGAGCCATACACCTAGAACTTGTCTCCAACCTATCGACAGAGGCGTTCATCATGGCCTTCCAGCGCTTTGCTGCTCGACGGGGCTTACCCAGCGTCGTTTACTCAGACAATGCCCTCACCTTCAAGAGGGCAGCAAAGGACTTATGCGGCGTATGGGACGTTGTCACGAACCGACGCTTACAGGACCACTGCTCACAGCATCGGATAAAGTAGAAGTTTATCGCCGAGAGAGCAGCCTGGTGGGGCGGGTTCTAGGAAAGGATGGTCCAGACAGTGAAGCGTAGTCTACTGAATATACTAGGAAGGAATAAGTTTAGTTTCGAAGAACTGACAACCATGCTACACGAGGTGAAAGCCGTCGTGAATTCTCGATCTTTGGCCCCTGTTCTCGACGCTCCACACGAGCAGGATGCTTTAACGACTGCGCACTTCTTGTTGGGCAGGCGTCTGACGGCTTTCCCATCAGTCAACGTAGAAGCTATGCCAGGTTCTGTGAGAGGGGACATCACCAGGCGTTGGCTACACAGGCAGCAACTGCTGGACCAATTCTGTCGGAGATGGCGGAAGGAATGCCTCCTTCAGCTCCGCTCCGCACACCGGTCGCCCGAGACGTGGACAAACGACCTACAGAACGGGAACCTCGTTCTTGTTCACGAGGACAAGACCCCACGGCTCATGTGGAAAACGGGGAGGATCGAAACAGTTCAGCTGGGCAGAGACAACCACGTGCGTTCCTGTCTGGTGCGCCTACCAAGCGGGGTAACGCTTCGGCGCCCCGTGCAGCTCCTTTACCCCCTGGAACTGGCAAGTGAATGAATGAAGGCAAATCTCACGCGAAAAAAAAAAAGAGAGGGGGTGGGGACGTAGGATGTTGCAGATTGGAAAGAATTTGAAGCTCACGAGAAAAGGAGAAGAAAGAAGAAGTTTGGAGTCACGAGCGGAACGAGGCGAACGACAGAAGCCGACCGAGACACTTCTCTCTAATGGTGTATATTCGATTGATTCATTAGTGTAAATACAGTTTGTGTTTTGTTTTTACGTTAATTGCATGATTTAAATACGACGCCCACACGACCTCTTTGATTCTGAGACACCAGGAGAACGAAATGAAACCGGGTTTCAGTCACTTGAGATGTGCTCAGTGAAGTGATAATAGCAATATCGAAAAAAGGTTATACCTGAACGCACGCACGCGCACAAACATTTTATCAGTCTCACATGTCAATGATTAAGCAAATACAAGTGTGGGTCAGATGTCGTGCAGTTGTTTCTATTGACTTTTAACTGAAAGGGCTAACCGAGTGGTTCGAATTGTTTAGGTAAATTTCTCCCGTCGTTGATGGAAAGTGCTTGCAGATGAAGCAAGCTGCTTTTCTGAACGAATTCTACTCTCGAAAAAAATATAATTTTCATGTGAGCTCCAAATGGGTCTTTCGTAGTAAGTGAGTGGTGTGTATATTTGTTCCGCCGGATATTAGTCAGCTTTAATAGGCATCTGGTGTCTCCTACTGTAGTTCAGAGATATAGTGTGTGTGGTACAAGTGCAAGCCTGGGGTCCTTAACGTGCACCACGCAGTACTGATACACGACCACCCACCGGTACGATGCTCAGAAAGGTCGAAACGGGCAGGGGTACTAAATTAACCCAGGATCCATAGATCTTGAAGCTCGAACTGCGGCTCCACGGGCTCCAAGCTGCTGTGCTTCAGTCCCGTCGGCCACCGATCCCTTTGACTAGACTAATTTAGAGAGGAATAATATTATGTATGCGATCAATTTGTTTTGAGGTGTGGACAATAAACGATTTGTCTTAAAAGGGCAAATCGTTTTGTATTTTAGTGTTTTGCTTGTAAGATGAGCTTATCTCACTGTAGTGTATGCGAAATGTGTGTACGAATACATATATCGTGATACTTGTTCCAGTTGTAATTATAAGGTCTGCATTGTGTCAGCTCGTGGTGAGTACTTAGTTGCATATGCTTCCACTTGGTAGTGTTTATTTTCATTTCACATAGGGGTCACAATGACGATATATAATTGAAATCGTGTTGAAGAATGACGAAAATAATCCCTGGAGAAGGGGAACAATCAGAATGTTGAAGATCATTCTGATTATTGTGAGTAGTGATTTACTGTAAATGACGCAAGTGTGCGCAAAATGTCTAATTTAGGATTATATGGCAGAATGCAGTACATTTATATAGATTATAAATAAGAACTGCCCGAAGGCATTACATGGGATACACAGGATAGAAGAGTAGTAAAACGCAATGTTGATTTTTTATTGTTTTCGTATTTTTAAGAAGAGGGGATATCCAGTTTTATACTGTCAGATCGATGCCTTGTTTTAAGTGCTTTAGACGAAGGCGGTGATGGGAAAATATATTAAACTTTTTAGCGAATTCAATAAAGATAATATCAGGCTGAGCTGTCAAGTGAGTTTTAATCTTAAGGTATATTTCAAATTGGAATAGTTGAGTAATACATAGCTGCGATATCGAAACACATGTTCGTTAGCACATAATTAATTAAAAGCACCTAGACGTGAAAATATGAGTATACAAAACATGCTCCATGAGCTTGAATGGCACACTGGCGAGCAAGATGGCGCAATAACTTGTAGGACAGGAATGGTGTCCTGTTTTAGAAATTACTACTCCTTGGGCATAAAGCTTATCAAGAGGCACCATGCCGGAGTGAAGGGAGTGTTGAAATATTTTGCTAGGAATATAGAATGCAGCTTACTATAGGCCATCTAATTATAGATCATACTTTTTTTGGTAATCAGGTGCTCTCCTTGCATGCAGATTTTTTATTTGGTTTATATATATTTGAAGCTTTATATTATAGGTAGCGCAATTGAGTAATAATGATTCTGCTTCCCTGGTGAATAAGATGAAAAAGGTAAATTAGCAAATTTGTAGCTCAAAGATCAATTAGATTATTTTGTATGTTGATTAAAACTTCAGATAACTGAAGCGTCTGAACGTTTCCCTTTGCAGCAACGCCTCTCCGTAGAGGAACTCCGGAACCCACGTCCCTTACAGTTCCTGCGACGAAAGACAGAGCTTCTTGGAGAACATGCTAAGACCATTGAGGATGTTTTGCTCCGGGAACTGTTCCTCCAGTGACTGCCAACAGACGTCCGGATGGTACATGCACCTGTAGCGCCCTCAACCTTCTGGAACTCGCCGGTTTAGCTGACGTGGATAGGGATGTCTCAGCCCCGTTCTCCGCTCACTTGGCCACCAGGACCATCCAGTCAGCAGGAGGTGTCCGCAACATGGCGTAGGACGTCCAGACCTCAATTATGTCCCAAGGCTACCTTGACCAGCTGTGCAAACGGCTCGTGCAAGTTATCCTCACGACGCCGAGATTCTGTGCGTTATTCCCACTGAGGATGGCGCTCTATATTCCCCCCAACTGACAGCGACAACTCGGGTGGATATCACTCATCAGGTCTCTGCTACTGCCACCACCGTTACGGCCCGATCCAATTTGCTGCCAGCGCTCCTACGCGTGGCCAAAAAACCGTCCCGCTCACCGCTAGAGTCAACGAGTGGTCCGATTCTACGAAATAGTCGCCTTTTCCACGTAACCGACGTACAAGTAACCCTGTCTGCCTCTTACAAGCTGCGAACGGCACGTTCATTTCAGTGTGCACGGACCGTTCACTTTCGCTAAGTCTTGGCTTTTGACGATTTTTTAGTGGATATTCCTGGCGGCTGAAGTAGGTCAAGCCATCCTTGGCGCAGACTTTCTCGAGCACCATTTTCTGCCAGTCGACGTCAAGAGAAAACGCCCATTTCTATATACCGGGAGTCGACAAGACGAAAACTCCGGTGTTTCCATCCCCATGCACTCAATGCAAGGTCCTTTCCAAGAAACACTCCTTGACTTTTCGTCACTTATGTGACCACCGAATGGATCAAACCTATTGAATAAGATGTCACATATCACATACGAGCAACAGGTCCACCGGATTTTTTCCGCCCAAGTCCTCTAGCTCTGGAGAAGCATTAAATTGCTAGGGCCGAGTTCGACCATAGGCTTGAGCTCAGAAAAATAGGAGAATCCTACAGCAGTTGGACACCTCCGTTACACATGGTTTCCAAGAACAACGGGGATTGGCGACAATGCGTGGATTACCGCGGTCACGAAAAAACACCATTCCAGACCGGTACCATCTCCCAAACATCCAAGATTTCACCATCAATCTTTGAGGTTGACGTTCTTCTCGAAGGTTGACCACACCCAATCTTACCACCAAATTCTGGTAGCTAACGACGATATTGCCGCGCGGGCAGCTGGCCAAGTGGACAGCGCGCGCGTGGCATAACGGTTATCGAGCTTGCTTTCCACGCAAAAGGCCGGGGTTCGATCCCTGGCCTCGGCTACTAATTTTTGTTGACACTGTAATGTGATGTTCTAGTGAATTCGAGAACCATCTTGCTGATTCGAGGTTAGAATGTTCTACGCGCCGAACCTTCTACGCCGAACGATCCAGAAACCCACGAGGGTACATAAGGGATTCCGCAAGGCGAGCGGGGCCAGTTTCGCACCAGCGTTCGACTCTGCTGCTTCGCCGACTTCGACGCCCGCGACGCTCTGTTATTATATTTTGTACCCGTTTATTTATTTTTTTTTTTGGCACAAGTTCGCCACATTAAACGTTTATTTCTTCCTGTCAATTTCTTGTTTAGTGGTCACCACCCGTGACATTTTTGGTGGAGGTGCGGGGTAACCGCATGCCCGTGCAGCGCTCCCCTCCGAGTTCCCGCAGTGCAAGTCCGAACACAAGCCCCCAAGAACTCAACGAGGACCAGACCGAGATCCGATTAAGTCGCCGGAACCTTGGCCTACCCCCGGAGTTAGGACCCTTGCCACCCTACTGAAAAAAACTATATGAACCCCTACGGCAAACCATATGGAATAGTATGGATCTATATGGTTCCATATGGCCAACCGTATGGCATGGTATGGATTCATACGGTTCCATATGGCTGAACCATACCGAGCCATACCATACACATACGGTTCCGTATAGTTGGATATGGCTGAACCATACGAAGCCATACCATACACATATGGTTCCGTATAGTTGGATATGGCTGAACCATACGGAGCCATACCATACACGTATGGTTCCGTATAGTTGGATATGACTGAACCATACCGAGCCATACCATACACATGTGGTTCCGTATGGTTGTATAGTCTAGCCCATACAAAACTATATTCGTATGGCCGCACCAGTACCATATACTCAACCGTTTACGTTCATATGACTGCAAACAATTCCACCTTATTGTCACGCGCGTCGCCGACCAAGCGCTCGTGGCCGAATGTTTATCATCTTTAAATCCTACGCAAGGGGCTCGAGGTTTGATGCCTGGGAGCGGGCGCGCCTTTTTGTTATTTCTGTCAATTTTGAGTTCTGGTAAATTCGAGAACCCTGTTGCTTATTTGTTGTTTGAATGTTCTATGGGCCGAACCTCCTACGCTGATTTTTTCAGGAGCCCACTTGTGTACATAAGGAGCTCCGTGTTGCGAGCCGGGGTCAGTCTCGCCCCAGCATTTGATTGGAAGTGGATATTCTGCTGGTAGCTGGCACACCAGGGAAAAGAAATGTCGGCCGTTGTCCCATATCGGTCTCGTATAAAACAAATTGTGAAAACAGCAATTCGAAGTTGTAAAGTGGCGCAGTGGTAAGGTGTCTGTTTCATAATCAGTAGAACACTCGTGACACTGGTTCAATCATGTTACTGGTTCGGTGAAAAAAAAAAAGATATCCTATGCAAACAAATTTATAATTT